CACAAATCATTCTAACCTGTCTAAACAAAAGTTGTTGGCGACCCAAGAGATTACAAATGGATCAACACGATGCAGCTCCAAAAGGTCTGGGAGCAGATGAACATCGCATATCAAAAGAACGCCCGCCAAATCTGGGTAGTAAACGTCGGAGACCTCAAGCCACTCGTAAGAAGCCCGGAAATCACATTTTTAGCACATTTTCTGACTCTAAGTCCAGGAACTCCCAATCGACTACTTCATGAGCCTTGCCTACGACTTTGACACCTGGGGCCCCGTCGACAAAGTTTACAGCTGGGAACAAGCCTGGGCCTCGCGCGAATTTGGCTCCGAGCTCGGCCCCGAGATTGCTTCAATCATTGACACCTACGGTAAATTTGCCGGGCGGCGCAAGTTCGAACTGGTAGACCCCGCGACTTACAACATCATCAACTACCGCGAAGCCGACACGGTTCTTGCAGCATGGAAAGATCTTTCTGCGAGAGCTGAAGCGGTTTATAATAAGCTGTCTCATGATACAAAGCCGGCGTTCTTCCAGCTTGTGTCGTATCCAGTGAAGGCTGCGTATATCGTCCATGATATACATATTTCGTCGGCAAAGAACAACCTCTATGCAAACCAGAGGAGAAACAGTGCCAATTCGCTGGCAAACTATGTCTTGGAGAGGTTCAAGGATGACCACAAGCTCACAGAGCAGTACCACAAACTTCTCGACGGGAAATGGAACCACATGGCGTCACAAACCCATCTTGGATACCAGTACTGGTACGTGCCATCTCTTATGAAACCCACAAAATCACAATCATCTAAGCACTGCTAACAATCTCTCCAGGCAGCAACCCATGCGCAACACCCTCCCGCCCCTAGCTTGGACGCAGCTCCTCGAGAACTCTCTTGCTGGCTCCCTGGGTGTCAGCATTGAGTCCAGCAACGGCTCCATCCCCGGTGACGACCGCTACAATACCGTGTCCTACGGCAACAACACTCTCGTCCTACCTGTCCTCGACCCCTTCAGCAGCACCCAAACCCGCTGGATCGAGGTCTTTAGCAAGGGCACCGACTCCTTCAACTTCACCATCACGCCCCACAACCCCTGGGTCAAAGTCAGCCCCTCCTCCGGCTACATCAACTCGCAATCCAAAGACATAACCGACGTCCGCATCGAGGTCTCTGTGGACTGGGCCACCGCCCCGGAAGGCTACAACATCGCCTTCATCGACATTGTCTCCTCAGCCTCATATGGCAATTTCGGCGCCCCATCCGTCAACCTCCCCATCAACAAGACCTCAATCCCACCCTCCTTCACGAACGGCTTCGTCGAATCCAACAAGTACATCTCCATCGAAGCCGAGCACACCTCGCGCAACACCTCCACCGCCGACGCAGCCTACCAAACAATCCCCCAGCTCGGCCGCACCCTCTCCGGCGTGACCCTCACCCCCATCCTGGCCCCCACCCAAACACCGCCGGACTCCCCCCGCCTCGAGTACGACCTCTACGTCTTCACCACCCCGGCCTACAACGCAAACATCACGCTCTACCTCGGCGCCGCGCTCAACATGGATCCGTACCGCCCGCTCAAGTACGCCATCGCGCTCGACGACGCCGCCCCGCAGGTTGTGCGATTTGTTCCCGATGCGAAGCCGCTGGACATGCCGGCGGGCTGGGAGAAGGCCGTGTTGGACGCGGTGTGGACATCTGTCACCAACCATACGGTGGCGAGCGCGGGGAAGCATACGCTCAAGATCTGGGCGGTGGAGCCCGGTGTGGTGTTCCAGAAGGTGGTGGTGGACTTGGGCGGCGTGAAGCCGTCGTATTTGGGGCCGCCGGAGTCGGTGAGGGTTTAGATATATGTGGTGTGGATGTTTAATGTGTGGATGTGGTTGAGATGTGTATATGATGTAGTTAATATTTATATTTAGTTTATAAATATAGTTAATTAGAACCGGCGCAGATTTTAATCTACGTACATATCTAAACAGTGACTACATTCACCCCCGGCCACCGCCATCGATCAGGAAGCAATTGTCCGTTACTTTCTTACAAGACCCAAGAACTCGCAACAGATCCAGTATGTTGGAAGTAATGTATACAGCTCATATAGAGTCCCAGAATAGAGAACCAAGAAAAACCGCCCCGCGGGGGGGGGGGGGGGGGGGTCAATGACCAAGAATGCAACATTATGACTTTTCCTCACAACCCCTAACCCTGTGTCGCCAAGAGTCAAAGCCAAGAGTCAAATAGCGTAACCAAATATTGGGGTTGATGGGTGCTGGTCACAATTGCTTTTAAAGTTGTGTCCGCATTGTACTGGACGTTCTTTGATCAATATGCGATCGGCAGTTCATTATTATTGTTTTCTTTATCCAACGATTGAGTTCTGCTCCGCTATTGTGTCATCGATCCGATCCTTATTGATACCCACACAACAACAACAACAAGAACAACAACAGCCAACGTCGTTCGAACCCTTTGTTCGCGACACGGGGCAGAACTACATCTAGCTAACCAGGTCCATAGCTGCAACCATCCCACTCAAGTACGGGTCACAGAGTCAAGGTCACTGTTCATTCAACTCACGTTTCATTCAATGAATTATCAACCAACCAATCAATCACGTTTAATTCACCACTAGGCACTCGGACACAGACAGGCAGAATCATAACATATCACTCGTATTGAATTTATTTTTATTTTTCGTCCCCAACCACACCCCCCACATAATCGATTATCTAGAATCATGACACATAAACTGACTTCACCGCCACATCTAGATTGTGGGCCATCCGCCGCTCCAGCCGATGACGTTCCATCCGAACCTCTTCTGGCCGTCGCCGTAGCCGATGGTAGTGTCGACTGATGTGATGTTAGTACAAGTACCACCAACTGGAGATTAAAGGCAGGAGGATGGTGGGGAGTTACCGTAGTGGTAGTAGAGGATTGCACCTCCGGCCTTGGAGTCGGCAAAGACACCCTGTCCACCGGGTCCATACACGTTATCGTGCGAAGTGAGAACGGGGGTCCCGCCACTCGCGGTGCAGGAGACACCGTTGCGGTCGTACTATACCACAGACTGTTAGCAGTCAGCGCCAGAGGGGGGGGCAGGAGAACACGTACGTAGCCACCGTTGATGGATGTCGAGACACAGACGTTGATGCGGTACTCGTTGCCCTGGCTGGGGCGGCTGGAGTCGTATCCGCAGCAGGTACCGGACGAGAAGAAGAGGTAGTAGTACGGTGAGCGGTAGTAGATGTTTGATCCCTCGACGGCGTGGGCGCCACTGGAGTTGTATGCGATCTGGACGGAGGTTCCGGCGGTTGTGAGCGGTGGGTTTGCCATGGGCACCTGGTAGATGTCGCCCCAGAAGCTACCGAAGCTCATATAGTATGATCCGGAGGTGGAGAGGACAAGGTTTCCGTCAATGGCGTTGTATGCGCTGCCGGTATAACTGCGGATACCGGTGCTGCCGTGGTCGGTCCATGTGCCTACATCCATGGTCGTCGAGGTGGCCACTCCAATTGCGGACTCCTGGGAACCGAAGGTAGAGACGGAGTAGTAGAGGTAGTAAACATCGCCGACCTTTGAAATATCAGGAGCCCACAGGTCCGTGTTGCCCGTAAGGGCGATGGAGGAACCACTTGGGAGTGCACTTCCCTTAATGGTCCATGGGCCAGAGATGTCGGATGCGGTAGCAATCTGGATCTTGTTACCGGTCGAGAAGCGGAAGTAAGTACCGTCCGAGGTACGGCGGATCACAGCAGGATCGTGGACGTTGCAAGAGCCAGTGCAGGCGCCGGGGTTGGCGGCCGCGAGCACGGTGCTGAGGAGGGAGCTGAGGAGGACAAAGAGGAACAACATTGCAGTGGATGGTGCTTGAAGTTCTGGCTGAGGTCGAACGGTGGAGTTGGGGGGGGTGGAGTCGTTTTAAAGTTGTGGGATTGAGTGGTGATGATCAGGATATCATGATTTTCGCATGGGAATTTTCTTAGTGTTTTCCCGAATGTGTGTACCCAATGCATCCCCGTCAGGGGTCTTGAGCTGTGATTTGAGGGGCTATCTTCGGACGAGCTAAGGCCGAGACGTTTTTTATATATTTCGTTATCCCCTTCAATAACTTGGCAGTGGTGCCATGTTGAGGTTGAATTGGTGCAGAAAGGCTTGTTGAACCATGGCCAGTATTGCCTTTGAGCAGACTGAACGCCATGAGACTGTTGCGATATGTAACTCCATTATTACTCCGGTATATACTCTAGGAGGTCATTTGAATTCGGTAACTTCCACACATGACCAGAGAGAGCATCATTACTTTCCCCTTTTTGGTATTGCATTGCTCTCGGCGCGGTCCTGGCCCTAGCTCTGGCTGATTTTGATGTTGACATTTTGATGTTGACATATATCTGCTGAAGAATCACCCCCCTGCCAGAGCTAGCTACATAGCTCGACTTCAGCCGGAATGCGAAACACTACCATCTAAGCGGCCGGCCTACTGCACCCCACAGAACATTCATTATATATAATTACCCTGCACCCCCATGTAAAGTATGCTTAAAGCCAAAAGCGAATAAAGTCACGCCCTGAAATGATCCAGAAAAAGGTAGGCAGGTACTCCGCAATTTCGTTTCTCCCATGGTCGAACACTAGGACCCCACCTTTTTACCGGATTCCGAACGGCTAAAACTGGCTAATATGCTATTATACTACCTAGCCAGTCGTCTAATATTCTCCTAGCTTGCTAGTCAGGAGCACTTTTAAGCCTTGCAATGAGGAACATTTTGATCTCGCATCATCATACCGAGGCGCCGGAGAATTCGAGCCCACGTTCCGGAGATCGCGTGCGGAGGTGCGGCGAGGCTTTCCGTGGTTCGGGCTTCTATGCGATCTCCGAGTTTGGCTCGCTTATAGCTTTTAGCCGGCTGGGCTGGGCGGAGCTGGGAGAGTTGGTCTGGAAATCCACAGCGTTCCGGTGAATAAGTTGTTCAACGTTTCGCCACGTTATATATATGTCACGGAGCTATATCTATGAGCTTAATATTAATTGGCGACGCCATAAAGTACCGTTATATATGTGAATGCTTACTTAAACATGCATGAGTGCATCGCTTCATATCTACCGAATTAACCCACCTTGGTGTACGTGCAGTAACGTGATCGATAACACTGGATATTCCGAAAAACATCCATATTACCGTTCGGGGAACGCCTAAGGTGGCGTTTATACCACGGCCCAAAAGCTCCGTTGTTGTACCTGTTCTAGATTTAGAAAACTTCATTTTCTCACCCCCAAAATGGAGTTCTCACAAGAAGTATCTCTGGCCTTAATACCTTTCAGTTCTATGGAGAATGGAAAGCGTTTGCAATGCTTTAATCTACTACCCATGTCAGTGGGCCATTCCAATGAGCGCCATAACTTAACCCTATTCAATCTCAGTTCGAAAAAGGCCCGTTTACCTCTCCCCCAAGCAGCATATTCTCCCAATCAACGATACACCAATTGCTTTAACAAACAGTGAGCCGACGTGATAAGTCATCTAGTCGAAATCACCTCTAGATCTCAGGACAGGGTCTATCCATGAGGTATCTGTGCTGCACTGCAGAGCTGTGATAACCCCCGCGATGGGGAGGAGAGGAGAGGGGAGCCTGATATCTCTTCTTATACTGTCGATAGACTAGGACAACAATCACAGTCGGTCAATTGGAGGAGCGGGTACTAGCTTGGTCAGTTGAGGGAGCGGGTACGTGGTCAACAAGTAGTGAGACGATACCCGTCCTTATTGTGGATTAGCTAAATACATGTATGTAGTTAATTAACTAAACTCCTTTACAGTAAATCACGTCTTACCAGTTTATCAATACTAACTAGTGGACACTTGCACATACATGTAACTATATGTACTTGTATCTATGCGGCAAAAGCCAATGCCATACTCACTAGCCACGACTCCAGCCACCTAAAACTCTCTATTCACTATTACATTAATACTACAATCCAGGACGATAGCCGCCGGACTTCAAAACGTGTTAGCAATTAACGTTACAAGTAGTGGCTTAAAACTTAGAAAACGAATTATGTTTGTAGCAGCCCAACTCGCGGGGGCGGCGCAGAGAAACAAGGCGTCAACTCCACGAAATGAAATTAGAGGGTTTCCAATATATAATCCCCATTGAAACCTCCGTTTCTCCAAACTCCGCCTACCCTACTAGCTCACGAAGGATGAGTGAAACGTTATTTTACACAATTGCAACTCTAGCTAGAGGTCGGCTCCCAAACGAGCCTTAGTAATTTCACCCCGTAGCTATTTACTAGTGAATCTATGCACTATGCATCTTTATTCCTATTCTCTACACTCCAGCCAACCTAACCAGGCTAGCTAGTTTACCTCCTACCCAGGGCCACTACACTAACATCTACTCTAATCACAGCATCCATTCCTCAGCACCCCATTCTTTCCCCCCACCGCCGCAGCGCCAGACTGCTTATGCGCAACCGCATCCTTCAGGTCAGTCTTCAGCAGTACGCTTTTGTTGAAAGCTTGTCTATATATTAAAAGACAATTAATTAGTAGGATGATCATAGGGTGGTTCATGGAGTAAGGAACTTACGTGGAAGGCGGGACGTCTAGTGCTGGGTTCCGCTCGAAGAAGTTGACGGGCTTGAAGGATACCTTGATGGTTTCGCAGGGCATGACCTGTTATGTATATTAGCAACACGCCGAGGTTAGATACGGGAAATGAACACTTACAGGAAAGTCTTCAATCCGGGGGATATGGTTGATCCCTGTTCAGTTGTCAGTGATAATTCCCGAAACCATTCCGCCACTCCCTTAAACCACCCCCAAGACAGCACCCAACATCTCTATCAAAACCAACTACAGCCATAACAAAAAAGAAAGAAAAACCTACCAAACTGCACCCACACCACCAAATCCTCATCCACCACCCCCTCCCCCCTCTCCGCCCACGTCCTCACCCCCTCCCCACCCCTCGACTGATTCGTCCACTTCCCCGCCGCCCACAGCTCCCCCTCGCGATACCGCGTCACATACACAGCCTTATCCGCAAACTCCGCCCTCCGATAATGCCAGCTCTCCCCATCCGCCAGCATCTTCTGGAACGGCGGCACCGCGATCTTATACCCCACCGCCTTCCCATTGACGCGGTTCCTCACGCCCGCATTCTGGATCTTAAACACCCTATTCCTATCCACGTCCGTGTCAAGCCCCGCCGAGGTCTCCACCACCGTTTCCCTCGTGACGTAGCCCACGCCGTGAGGATTCGTCTTAGGGTCTCGCGGCAGCGCGTGGGCCTCTTCATAGACGAGCCGGTTCTCGTGGCCGTCGATGGCGGGGTCGAGGCGGAGGGAGAAGAGGTGCTGATGGTGCGCTGCCAGCACGCCCGGGTGGACGACGGTGCCCCAGGGCACCTCGACGCCCTCGTCGATGGGCGCGGTGCTGAGGATCCCCGTGGCGCGCACCTCGTAGCTCATCTCGCCGGCCTGGTTGAAGATGAAGGCGAGGATGTATTCGTAGTTTGAGACGGTGATGATGGACTGGATGACGAGCTCGCGGTTGCGGATGATGACAGCGCGGCCGGTGCGGTAGTTTGTGTGCTTGAAGCCGATGCCGGCGTCTTGTTCGTGCACGCAGATGACGTTGGGCATGGCTTGCGGGTTGCCGGCATCGTCGCAGAGTGTTGCGGAGAAGTAGTGGATGGAGCCTAGACAGTCGCATCCGAGACTTAGGTTGTTCGCCATGACTCCGGCGCCCTATGGTTTTATAGATATACTTCAGTTTGATGCCGAGTGAGATATCATGATTAGGCAGGGGCCAAAGGAAAAAAGGTTCTTACCACATCTCCTAGATCAAATGCCGCCTTCTTATGGTACGGAGGCCGTGGGTCCCCATAAGGGATATTCATATCACTCAGCGACACCCTCCAAAACAAGCTTCTCCCATCATACGTCACATTATACAGCACCATGCCCTCCCTGTGGTTAAACCCGACCCGAAACCTCCATTTCTGCCACTCCACAACACCGCCTCCAAGCTGCTCATCCAAGATCTGGAACGACGCGCCTTCTGGCTGAACCACCTGCAGCGGCTTCAGGTCGGTCCGGAGCGATGGCTGGCATTCGGGGGTGTACTCGGAGGGAGGCGGGATCTTGTATGGCTTTGGCAGAGTGGGTGTGAAGTCAGCTCCGGTGGGGAGATTCTCGATCCGGGTGACCTTGCTGGTCTGGACGTCGAAAACGGGGCATATTGAGAGCGGGAAGGCGTAGTGGTTTGAGTCGGGGTTCTTGCTGTGTGGGTCCTGGATGTAGAGGAAGCACTGGAATTGGCGGCAGAGGTCCTCAACGCCGTCGGAGCCTAGACAGATCGATAAAAGTAAGCTTACCAAATTAAGATCAATCCAAAAGCTCTATAAAAAGCATCTATAGCCTGATAAGAGCCCGGGGGAATAATATCTACCAAACGTCCACGGATCCGAAATCACCACCGTCCCCTCCGGCAGCTCCAACTTCGCCAGCTCCGCCTTAACCCCCTCGTCCTGCAGCACCACCTCCTCCACCTTCACAATCTCCTGTCCATCCGCATGCGCATGGTAGCCCTCCTTCACCCTAAAATTACTCTCCAGCACCGCCACCAATCCCCCCTCTCCCTCCTCAAGCAGTATATACGCCTCAAACAGCTTGTCGGTGTTGCGGACGTAATACGAGATGTAGCCCCGTCGCGGGGGTCTCTCGCCGCCGCCCTCCATCCACGAGATCAGCGAGGCTTTGGTGGGCTCGCTGAGGGTAATGATCTTGAACTGCAGGTCCGCCGTGGGCGGGTATGCAGCTTTGAGGGCGGCGGCACATGATCGGATCTCGTCGGGGGTGAGGGGAGTAAGAGGGTGGAGAGGAGGAGAAGAGGTAGCGGGCGTCATTGTGGGTGAAGTGGAGGAGCTGCGGACCAGTAATTTAGCTGGACGGAATCCAACGGTGCCTTAAAACTGGTGGAGCAATTGAGGATATAAAGAAGGCGGGATATAAACTACAGCAGCACAAGGTATGGGCAGTAAAGATATGGACGTCGAGGAAGGCACGGAGGAGTGAAATACTCTAGATAAAACGGCCGGGCCAATCACAGCTCGAGCAAGGAAGGGGACAGGTATGTAATATTGTATACCGCAGATGAGCTCGATCGAGAACAAGAGATAATAACTGGACAACACAAAGCCAAGCAATGGGATAAGAAAAAGTGCCAACAAACTCACCGAGTGGACGCAAGGATTTTCGGAAGAGAGAGGAAAGAAAGAAAGGCCAGAAGACGAGAGGGAGTTGCCATGATCGATATCAGTGCAAGTTCTCAATGGATGGATGGATGGATCGATGAGTAAGGCTAGCTAAAGTAATTAATACAAGCTAGCGAACCGGGCAGTCTACATCGTGGATCGATGCTTCAGCCTTAATTCAATTCGCTGCCTGCAGGCACAGCAGCTAGCTGGGGGGTTAACTAACGAGGGTCAAGGAAAAAAAATTGGATAGATATGAGAAAAGCTCTATCAAGCCCTGACCAAGTCGATCTGTAAGAGAATAGGTACCGGCACCAACGTTCGTTGGATGTAAAGTAGATGACTACCGGCGGCGCAGTGGCAAACCGAGGTTTCGTTTCGCTTTATGTCCGTCTAATCGGCATTCACCGTCTTTAATCTACTTTGAGGGTTACCGGGTTGGGAAGCTTGAGACAGCCAATGGGAGGATTTTGGAGCAGTGACCAGGATGCGTCTCTCTCCAATTGAAGGCGCTCAGGTAGATATTGAAGCCTTTTATATCAACCATCACCCAAGACCTACCTACTAATAATCAATGCACGACGGCGTGGATTAGGTACATACATGTAGGTAGGTAAGATGTCAATAGAGTAGGTACATCGTTCCCCGACCTGTAAGAATCTCTCATATAGAAACCCTCTCACTCGAATCTGCAAAGGTCTCCGAGTTTGTAGCTCGTATGCGAAACCAGCTCTTTCCCCTCCCCTTAAGAAACGTCACGCCCGTAATCTCCGTTCTTTCGCCGCCTTTGTCCTAATGTACTACATCCCGTCACGCTATATACGTGGAGTACAGTATACCCCGCACAGTTGTTGTCGACCTGACTCGTGTGGACTTTCCGGATACGGGGTGCGGGGCGGCGGAAGGTGTGAAGAACGGAATTGAGCGAGACTCCGACTATCCGAAGTTACGTTCAAGGAGAAATGTCAGAGAGACAACGATGTTGAAAACTTGAGATGAAGAAGAGGCTGCTGAGAGTTTCATATTTTGCTTCCAGTTGTAGCGACGTTGTATCCCTAGCGGTCAGTCCGAACCACAATCCGTGACCGAACCTGATATGGCAACTGTGCTCTGTTGAACGCAGTTACCTACGTCTGTTCATACTGTCATTGATCTTATTCTAGTGGCTGGCTTGGTCACTGTACCGGCAACATCTATCCTGTGTGGCAGTAGGTACATGTATGTACCTACTTTCGTAAGGCATGAATACGAGAAAGAATCAATTTAGAACACAACTTCTCGAGATCTCCTTTGCGAAAACCGAGCACCAAAGACATGTCTGTAACCCTGCCCGCACACCCTCGAAGAGATCTGCACAATCCCAGGCGCGCTTATCGATAAGGGCCAGCCCCACATCACCCCGGTCATGCAAAAAAGAAACTTCTCCGCCCTTTCCCCAGATGTGGAGATTTAACCACGGGCAGTCTGTCACTCTAAAAATACAACCTCGAGTCAATTTCTACCCCCAGGCTGCATTTGAACCCAATGTCTTCATCAACTGAGAGTCCCAGGACCGTCCCTGAGCAGTTTACCGGCTATGCCGCGTTTTCTGGTAATTTCCACATTGATCCTTTCCTACAAAAGCCTCGCTGCGCATAAACTAACAGCCATCTCACACCAGCCGAGACCTGGTCGGATCTCAAACTCCACAAATTCACCCCCAAGCCGTTCGGAGACTATGACATCGATATCAAAGTCCGCTACTGCGGCGTCTGCGGCAGCGACCTGTACGTCTCATGGATCCCCCGGCCCTTTCCCCTCCCTGCTAACAAACATATCGCCGTAGCCATGTCCTCCGCTCCGGCTGGTCACCGTCGATATATCCCTGCGTCGCCGGCCACGAGATCACGGGCGAAGTAATCCGCGTCGGACCTCTTGTCACCTCGCCCTCACTCCAGCCAGGCACTATCGTCGGTGTCGGCTCACAGGCCTGGTCGTGCGGGGGTTGCGATGCCTGTGCGGGTGAAGACATTGGCACGAAGCCAGGCGACGGTAAGGACTGGGGTGCGGCGGGGGAGCATGGCCATGGCGGTGAGAAGGGTTTGAGAGGGGGGAAGGAGAACTACTGCAAGGAGGTTGTGGAGACGTATAATTGGAGGTATAAAGATGGGAGTGCGGCATATGGCGGATATGCGGATTATGTTCGGATCCATGAAAAGTAATACGACCCCCGTCCGGGTCCACCGGCTTTCGAACTTCGGACTGACTGGTGTGGTGGGGATAGCTTTGTGTACCCGATTCCTGAGGGCATTCCCGAAGAAATAGTAGCGCCTATGTTCTGTGGCGGCGTGACAATGTATTCACCCCTCAAGCGCGCCAACGTCGGCCCCGGTTCCAAAGTCGGGATTGTCGGCATCGGAGGCCTCGGCCACTTCGGCATCCTGTTTGCAAAGGCCCTCGGTGCCACCGTCACCGCCATTTCTCACTCTCCTCGCAAAGCCGCCGATGCGAGCGCCCTCGGTGCCTCCCAATTCCTCTCGACCGCCACGCCGGGATGGAACGCTCCTCACCTGCGAACACTCGATCTCATCATCAGCACCAACTTCTCGACGGACATGCCGCTAGGCGAGTACCTCTCGCTGCTGAAGGTGGGGGGTACTCTTGTGATCTGCGGTATCCCGGAGGGTGATTTGCCGCGGTTGTCGTGGGCGGATATTGCGGCGGCGAATTTGGCGATACGGGGGAGTAATGTGGGGTCGAAGAAGGAGGTGGCCGAGATGCTGGAGTTGGTGAAGGAGAAAGGTGTCCAGAGTTGGGTGGAGGTTGTGGGGATGAAGGATGTGGAGGACGTGGTGAAGAGGTTGGATAGAGGGGAGTGTAGGTACAGGTATGTGTTGAAGGCGGATTTTGAGGAGTAGATTAGATGTGTACTAGTAGGTATAGAATACTTGGGGATATGTGTGCCTAGGCTATTAACCCGGCAAACATCGAATAGAAATTACTTGCATCTACTGAGAAACTACATGTATTTGTCCGATTCGTTAGTTTGTCGAGTAAATGTCTTCCGCAATAGAAAGAATGTGAGTATGAATACCGTGAGACCGCTAATATACGAGGCAACGACCCTATAATTTAGTAAAGTGAGGCCACGGTTCCCGGATTTCTGGTGAGATAAAGCCGTTGCGATCCCTCTATACCGGGACGAAAAGTCGCAGAAAAGTGCGCCACAATCATAATACATCACTCGGTACTACTTGGCTTTCAAATTACACTTGAGCTGTCCGAACCTGTCATGTCACTACCGTCACTATATAGTAATTAGACTCTTTGTTAATAAAGGAATTAAGTCACTTAACTATCTTGTCCTACCTTTTTCAGCGCAGTCTTTCCTGATTCTACGTAGACTTGACGAAAGGAATCCAGTACATACATAGTATGTATATGTTCCATCCCAGTCAAAACACTAACCACTGGCCATTCGGGTAGCCCATTGGCCAGCTGAGACGATTGGTGAATAACCTCTTGTTTTTCACTCAGAGGGTAGTTTTCTATAATCCTCATGGCATTTGAAGCTACATTAGAGTTCACCCTCAAGGTTCTTCTGTTTCGGTAGAAAGTCTACCCCCAATTAATTAGCCATCCATTAAAAATTATTTATCTACAATTACTTATATAGTCCCAGGATGGTAGTAGATTGGGTGTAAGGGTGCATACATGTAGGTAGAAAGGGCTCTTTGAGCTTTCTAGTCGTTAGGTGATGGCTTTTGGGAATGAACGCGAAAATATTGACAGTCATCGCTACTATTATTGATAGAGTATTAGTGAACTTCGGTCGAACTCTGGCAGGCATTGACCAACTGGACAGAATCTCAGCGACTGTTTACCAAATCTCAGGAAGCATTGGTCACCAGGATGGCCAGTTTGACAATGGATCGGCCTGTTGCTGAATGAGGTATACGCGTGACGAGGACGGGGCATATACACAGCAGTATCTGCTTGTCAAGGTCTGTCTGTATGTATGTGTGTCTGTGTGTGTGTGTGTGTTCGGCTCTTCGGTACGAGGTTCTAGCTGGCATCGCCGTATGAAAGTCACTGTTAATATAATGTAGATAACTGGGTTGATGATAGTGGAAGAGTCCCCTAACTGCGAAGATATACCAGCTAGTGTGGTATATCTATTCTCCTTGTACAGCGCTGAGAGTACGTGTTCTTTCCAGCTATGAATACAGTGTTTCTAACTATTGACTAGCTCTATCGATCGGTATTCTCGTAAACTATCCTTACATGAACACCATACATAGTTCCACCCAGGTAGAATGATTCGTACGATTTCGTAACATGGACTTAATTATATATCGGGTCCGATTACAGAGTTCAATTAGGGCTTCCAGGGCGACAGTTTATCAGCCATTTGTGCTATCACATTTAGCTGTTGATAAGCTAGTGGTGTTGCGGATGCACGCATCTTTGGCAGCGTGACCATAATGCTCTAGTACATCCACACAAGAAAACAGCATAGTCCACGAGGTCAATATGATGCTTCCAAGTCGATCGAGGCAGTACGCTTATGAAATAGAGCTCTTGAGAGTTCAGGATCGACGCGGCCATGAACTAATGTTGCTACAGAGGCTACTTGGGTGTTAGCGGGAACAGGCGATGTAGGCGCCATATAACGTGCGACGGCGAACCAGGGTTACAGCTAGAATACGTAGGTACATGTGGCTACCGAGATTGAACCCCTCTCTCTGGCGTCACTCTGCAGATCTAACATCTTCGCCTTGTGGTGGAGAAACTTAATCTATGCATGTATGCATACTGTGCCGCGATAATGAGCGTGTAGGTACCTGAGACAAACAATCCGATTCTTAGGACCAGATTATCAATCTTATACAGCCATATCTACACTTCCATCACTTGCGGTCAGTCATAAGGCGTGGAGGTTTGCATCCTGCTGGAACTGTCAGTCCCAGGGCCGTTGTGTGAATGGTATTCTCAATTGCTGAGAAGGTTCGAATTACATGCCTCAGAGACCTCAACGAAACAATTTCAAAGGCGAGACGAAATTCTCGAGATCTGCAAACGATGATGTGGTCTGCATCTCAATTCCCGCGGCACATCGGACAATCCTATCTACTCCATTACGGCGATGGAATTACCACTCTCCCCATGACAACGTGTCTGCCGAACCGATCTTCGTTGAACTACCGTTAATTGAAACCTCAAACGCCTTTGAATTGAGGAGGCGAAGCTCAATTCGAGGGGCGGACCTTACACCTCAAGATATTCAGGGCAATGACCGATCCAATGGTGGATAAACCACTGTACGGTCCATGTCGCTTCCCAACAAAAAAATGGATAAAGTGGTCTCGTGCCTCCCATGCATCCCGTACGTGCAGTTTTTCTGCGCGCCCTATAGAAAAGCGGGGGATGTGATGTCTTGGTCTGGCCGTTCCCGCTACGGGTGTGTTGTTAATTGAATCCGCAATATTCTCCTTCCGATGTATCTTGGGAGTGGTCAATATTGAGGCTTGTTCAATGCTTCCAGGCAGTGCGCGGATATTGACACATGATCTACCACATTGATCATTTTCCGTCCTTTCATCGCTCACACGAAATCACTCGGCACCAACAACATCATAAAATACATAGTACATCTATCCAAGTCAAGAGAGAGACCATCGAGATCCGAAGCCCTCTCCGAATTACCGGCGATTCTCGGACCAGAGCGGGGAAAGCCAAAAACCAAGTATATACATATCCACCACAATCATCGACAAACGCAGTAATAATCGGTAGAAAAGACGATTTGGGGATTATAGCTTCTTTCTTTGCGGAACACTACTCACCCCAGTTCTACTACTTCTTTTCCTGTGCAGGGAGCGTGATTCCTAGACACATCGTGGGCTCGGCGGATTGGATCTAATTATGAAGATTTTCATGCACTATTTATATGTTGTTTGTATGCACGGCATACCTTCCTCCTCCGATCTCAAGATTCATCTTATTAAATAGCTTATGATCCAATTCGGCAAGAGGGCGGGGTGGAACGGCGCTCAGTACCTTACAATTGATCAACCATTGAGCAATTATGGTATGTACCTTTTCATATCACTTTTACCAACAGTTGTGACCATCGATGTTAAGCTGCCCAATTGAAATAAGGTTAACAGTTTTCCTAATTCACTAGTTTCCGCAGTGATGGTGCAGGGTTTTCTCCGATTGAATGTCCTTTATAAGAAGGTTTAGGCTCAGAGATTTTCCCATTGGGAGAGGGTAATTCATCGACCAAGTCACAATACTTTTTACACAAAACCAGCTCGCCGTCAAGCGATCATTGGTACCAGCCGGTATAGTGTCATTTTTTCTACTTACCAGCTGTCCTCATCACTCACTGAGGAGAAAATAAATATATCATTTGTTTATTTTTCTTTGCAGATCAATTATTAGGCCGGACATATTACCTACATACATTGACCTACCTACCCGACTAATAATGCGCGGTCTTCCAATGATCCAATGTGCCGCCACGTGCCCGCTGACAATATGTTTTGTCTGCAGGACTGTAACCCAGGAGTGATTGTCGACATGTCCCATGTACGCCCGTTACTCGGAAGATACACTACTCATTCGGCTAGCTAGCAGGAACGAATCCTAGTTAATGCCCGACGTGAATCCGAGGGGTGCATACACAGAGGATTTAGTGCCTGTATGAAAAATTTATGCTCGATGACGCTTATCTTCCTTTCTTTTTATCAGATTCAATGGCCGGGATATGACCCGGGCGATTTAGAGTGAGTCTCAGTTGTCAGACGAGGCTGAAAACACGAGGCGAGCCCGGTCAAGTCCTGCTTGTTATTTGTTGCGGGCAATTCATCCATGGAACTTTGGGAGCCTCCATTGCGATGGTAGCTTGAGCATAGAAGCTGGTTGTTTACTAGAAACTAAGACAACGTATCCATAGATCTCCAGCTTTTCAATGCTTTGGGCTTTTGTGTCGGCACCTAGGTTTCTGAAGCTGCGACATATAGTTAACCACATGTACCTCCTACATTACTCTGGTGCTCTATGTCAATCGCCTAGCTTCCGGAAACGGGGCGACATCGCAGGGGCTCCTCCTACCATGTAGGCTTGTTAGAGTTCTAGAAGAGGCTAGCACTCTATTGACTGACAACTGATCCTTTTTATCGGCCCAGGAATTGAAGCAACAAGCAATTTTGAGATTTTTTATATTCAAGTAGGCCTAGATACTACTCAATCAGTTAACTATGTATGTCATATAGAGGCATAGGATGTCCCAGAAGACCCCTCGGTATGTGGGTTTCCCGCCTGCGCTTGAGATCACATATGTTGGTTCTAGCTCGTTGGAAATGGGTCCAGATAGCCGTCCAAAGGAAAACAGTGGAACGAGAGCCACCATCGCGGGGCCAATCCGTGTCAGCATTCCTTCCGTCTCTTTCCTTGCAGTTACAAACCACTCTGAAATTTGGGGTACAACAATATTTCACACTCTCACGTTGGCAGTGGGTACATGTACTCTGCTAACCCTGCATGCATGCGTTCCATCCAAAGATCGTTTTCCCACATAGATCACGCCAAACCACACATAAGCATCGCATACGGGGCTGCATACCAGCGTCATAACTGCGGGGTTGCGGTCGTGATACGTGATACGTGACAGAAACTGTCTAAGGCTTGCACGGAAAGAAGGAAAGGGTGAGGGTTGAGAAGAAAAAAAAAGACCCGACATCCTGAGGGTTGACCTTCAACAACAACAATAACAGTTTTGACTGTCTGCACCGACGTGAATACCAAAAGCCTAACACAACCAAACTAAGAAAAGCGACCCTCTCTTCCTCACCGAGAAGGTGCACTATCAAACCCAACAACCTGGTCACAGCTTTTTCTAGAAAGCCGGGATTGAGCTGAGGGCTCGCGCGCGTGTCAGTGTCAGGGTAAGCCTGAAATACGCGTCAATCCAATCCCTCATTCAATTAGAAGCTTACTGGCTACATATTGTTAGCCTGGAGGTCAATTTGTTTGGCGAATTAACGGACGCCAGGGGCAGCTGGAGAGGACCCGCCAAAAGAAACAACGATTGATTGCAACCAATTGCGTCTTTCCATTGTCCAAGATACTGGGACACCCTTCGAAGAACCTCTTGTTTTTTTTTCCGGCGCCAAACTTTTACTCATCACAATTTCAGAGCGGACAAGGAAGCAGGTTCGCAATTGACCACTGGTAGAATATATTCCTTCTTTTTTTTTGCCCCTCTCCTCCCTCCCCTCCCCCCCCCCCCCCCTTCTCCCCCACCTGCATTGCATGCCCCTCGTCGAGTCGCCGTCATTCAGAAAATTAGTATCTAGGCCCATCGCCGGTATTGAGGTACCCTTCTCCCTCCTTCCGAATTCATTCCATGGGGGGAAAATGTGTATATTATACATATGGCCAGCTCCCCTTCCCTCGATTTCCTATCTCAGTTCCCCCAGCGCCCCCAGCGTACCATCTTATCTGGAAGACATATATTTCTCTTAATTGAAGAATATCTTTCGAGAAATCTCGCTCACTTACCATGTCGTCTCCAGGTACTGAAAAGGAAAGCGCAGCTTCTCCGCCAGTAATCCGAGTCGAGACCGAAAAGAAAGGCGTCCGTGGCCAGGAAGCTAGAATCATGGCAACAATTCAAGATGATGATGAACGTCTACTTACCCGTATTGGGTACAGACAGGTATGAGGAAACTTTGCCTGCTTATTAGTGTGGGCCTAGAAATTGTAGAACGAAATACTTATATATCCTCTAGGAACTGCGAAGAGAGTTTACGAAATGGTCAACAGTCTCATACGCAATCTCTATCTTGGGTGTATTAGGTTCAGTTCCAGCAACCTTTTCAGTCCCAATTACATCTGGGGGACCAGCAACGGCAGTATGGTGTTGGTTCTTTGGATCGTTGATGGCAATGTGTATAGCGAGTTCAGGTATCTATTTTTAACACCCGCAACGCTTCTAATAAGACACAAAGGCTTACTTTGTGGTGTAGTCTCAGAGTTAGTATCGGCTTATCCAACAGCCGGGGGAATGTATTTCGTCACTAAACACGTGGTTCCGGAAAAACATGTGCCCATCTGGTCATGGATTGTGGGCTGGTGTAATTTCATTGGACAGACGGCCGGGGCGTCGAGTGTGGCGTATACCGTCTCTCAAATGATGCTGGCTTGTGCTAGTATGAACTCCAGGTTTGACGGAGATTCATACGCTTTCTCTCCGTAAGTAGCCCTATTATTATGTCACATTAAAGCCGGTGGGTGTTGATGTATAGCCTTATGTAGTACTGCTTTGCAGACAGTCTTGCTTTCAATCGCACTGCTTTGTGTGATGGGAGTTATATGCTCCTTGACAACGAAGTGGCTTCATAAGATTATTATATGGTTTGCGCCGATAAACAGTAAGTTGATTTCTTCCTGGAATTTGTGGAATGTGTTCTTACCTCGACTTAAAGTTCTTGCATCGTTCTCGATCTGCATTGCTTTACTTGTCTTGACCCCGAACAAGCACAGCGCAGAGTATGTGTTTACACATTTCACCGACGGCTCTGGATGGGGTAGCAAGGCATTTTCCTTTTTACTTGGGTAAGTTGAACCTCCGAAAGCCAGATTCTTTGAGCCAACTAACATAACACAGGTTTCTTTCCGTGGCATGGACTATGACCGACTACGATGGAACAACTCACATGTCTGAAGAGACCCACGATGCTGCCGTTCGCGGTCCAATCGCAATCAACAGCGCTGTCGTTGTTTCTGGTGCGATAGGATGGATGCTAACCGTAACATTTTGTTTCTGTCTTGGTGACCTGGATGCAACCATTGCATCGCCCACTGGTATGCCGGCTGCCCAGATCTTCTTGAATGCAGGTGGGAGAGTGGGTGGAACGGTCATGTGGTTTTTTGTGATCCTTATACAGTTCTTTACTGGCGTGTCTGCATTGTTGGCGGATACGAGAATGGCGTACGCGTTTGCTAGAGATGGAGCTTTCCCATTTTCCAGGTACTTAGCTACTCCTTTATACTGGAATGGGCGGTGATTGACATGTGCTCTACAACTTAGTTTCTGGAGCAAGGTAAACCCATACACGCACACGCCCATCAACTCCGTCTGGCTCGTTGTATTCTGCTGTATTTGCCTCAACCTCATCGGAATCGGCTCCCAACAAACCATAATCGCAATCTTCAGCATTACCGCCCCAGCCCTCGACCTATCCTACATCGCCGTAATCTTTGCTCGAATGCTATACTCCAAGGAGATCAAGTTCATCGAGGGTCCATTTACGCTCGGTAAGTGGGGACGACCGTTGAATTGCATTGCGATTTCTTGGGTGCTATTCATCAGCGTGGTCCTGTTCTTCCCGCCAATCAGACCAATCACACTGGTAAATATGAATTATGCGATTTGTGTAGCGGCGCTTGTGGCCATTTTTGCGCTGAGTTGGTGGTGGGCTAGTGCGAGACAGTGAGTTTTCCCTTCCCGCCGAGTTGATCTCTAGCATAGTGAATGTTTTACTAACTCTCGTTTCAGCACATACACTGGTCCACGAACGAAGGATATTATCCACATTGTTCCCGGCTCCGCTGACTCTGACGATGGGAATCTCGACGATGATGTCGAAGATTTTCTAGCCTAAAAAGCAAATTTCCTTTTTTTTTTTTTTTTTGAGGGGAGGTCTTGGGGGGATATATATTAGACTATACGACGGGGTTAAAGGCTTAGAATTTTGGATTTGATTTGGTTGGGCCGGTGCTGGCACCCGCCTTGGGACTTTCGCTTTATTTTTTTTATTTTGTATTTATGAATCTGTACGAGTGTCAGTGATGTGTAGAGCTTGTTATATGACTAACAATCGTTACTAATCTTTCTTTTCGATATTTTTTGTTTATACAGATGCTTAGAACAATTAAGAAAGTCTTTGCAGAAGTCAAACATTGGGTCAAGCGGTAGTACTATAGTGCTGTATTGATTTATGTATTTACGTCTAATAACCCGGATGGTTTGATCAATTGATCATGGGTCGGGCAGACATGTTTCATGGCCGGCTCTAGGGGGAGTGGAAATGTGTACCTAGAATATTCAGTAAAGTCGTTCGTAAAGTCGTTTTTCGAGCTTGGATTTACGTGGGTAATGTCAATATTTTAGCAGAGGGAAAGTCGTTTTAAGGGAAATTGGACGACTTTACAGACGTCTTTTTAATGATTTACAAATGACATTACCGACGACTTTACGGACACCTTTACCTGTCACGCTTCTGTCACTCATTTTGGGCGTATACAGGGGGGGATAAGTTTTGGCCACCGGTGATGCTTCACATGATTGACCAAGGCCATCGCCAATGAATTGAATCATCAAAAGACATCCTAGTATTATACCAGGAGCATCAAGTCAGAGTATCCTGCATGTATATGCCGAACAATGGATCCACCAAAATTAAATTGTATTCCCCAACTGTTACAAGCCCATTGATGCCAGATACCATTTGATGACCCCATCGAAATATTCTATTTGGGGGACTCAACTATCTCGAGGGGCTTCACAGGAAAATATTGATTTTCCGGCGGAAAACGGGAAACACCGGAAACCATCAGTAAAGTCGTATTTTTTGCATTGAACATGCCTTTAACAAGTAAAGTCGTCAGTAAAGGTGTTGGTAAAGTGTCGGTAATGGGACAGGAATGCCTTTAACACAAAGTAATGCGGTTATTGCATCAAATAATGTGTATCTCGCAGCTTTTTGTATGGGAAACGTCAAAATTGATGCATTTCCACTCCTACTAGAGCGGAAAACAACGACCGCGCGAAGGCACCTCGGGGTCTAGAGAATACCATGTACCACAGGCCTCTCAACAAATTGACCTAGCGGGTATGAATAAGGATCTTCTACAGACAATAGGTACTTGGTGCTTCCTTATCTGTAGTTGAAATTGCATTTAGAATTACCGGAGTCGGATTAAGTATTTCACTGTTTCTGTTAACGTTAGAGCAAAACAAGAGATATCACACGGCCACGAGTACATGTACCTTACTAGTAAATGGCAAGAAGAGCAGGTAGGGATTACAAAGCCAGAACGGAGATGTAATATTTCCATATATTATGGAGGGCCCAAGATGATAAGTCAACTTATGGGAATATATAATGGCTATATGTACTGTAGGTATACATGGATTGCATGTAGCGTGGAATTGAAAGGGGGATGAATTGTGTCAACGAGAAGGGATCCGGATAAGTAACTTACAATAGCTGAGAGCATTGGTACATGGTGCTGGTCTATCATGCACTACCATCCGTGACTATCAAGCACAGCTAGTCTTCTCTGAGGTAGAAATCAAGTCTCGAGCTCCTGCCGCTTCAGTTAATACCCCACTCTTGCAACACGCCAAGCATTGTAAATACCGAGTGATTTCTTATGATTCACCACCACCGCGCGCGTTTATCTTCCCATCTAACCACGATTGTTGCGCAGCCGGACTTATATAAGTAGTAAAAGACCGAGAAATGTCTCTCTATATTAATCACCCAGTTCTCTCGACGAAGCAATAACAATAAATTTCAACAATCCACAGATCAAGCACGTTACTAAGCGAGCAAGGTTGACTGACCGACGGTGAGTCAAGGCACCTTAATTGGAATGGTGAGCATATCGGTTGGACAGATATGTAGCTGTCAAAATAAATCATGTAGCCTACCTAGCTTCCCTACATGTATTGTACCTATATTCTCTAACCGCCTCATGCTATTCGCCACACTATGACTGACTGCATATTTAATAATCATCCCAGCCGCCAAATCCTCTGCATACTCACTCCATGCAGGCCATACATTGTAACTCACTCACGACTAATCACTCAACACCATCACAACCGTATAATTACTTAATCGAGTTTCGTGATGACCCCTGCTGTTTTTTATAACCTACCCGCCATGACGTTCGCTCCATACGCGTCGCTGAGGCGAAGCTTTTCGGCTGTGGATATATATCGATTTGGAATAAGTACTCGTAAATTCATGACGTTTCCGAACACGACTACTATTGCATACCATACAAAAAAGCGCCAAATCCACCTTTTTGTATATCATGCAATATTGGTCGTGTTCGGAAACGCTATGAAATTACGAGTAGTATACTGGTAGGGATCAGACGTCTAGAAATAGAGGGTGATATTCATTTGCCCGGTTGCGAAGGAGGTGCTTGCATGGCTCGAGTAAATTAAGGCCCACCCCGGTTCTAACCCACCCCGGTTGGGGAATGATTGTCACGTTTTGGTTTTGATATGCTCTGGTCAGGGGAATGATGGTCCTATTCTTTACGGGGCTCGAGCTCATGAGAATACTGGGATTTGGAGACTGGTCGGTGAGGCAGACTATCTAAGTGGTCGTAGGTTGGGTTGTAGGGGTGATTAGAATATATATAAGGGTTTAGAGGGGCCCACCGTGGGTGGGTTTTTAAGAACTCTCCTGCTTTGATCGGTACCGAGTATTTTGTTAATTTTTGATTATTGAAGTTTTTATTGGATATTGTTACTGCCTCTAGTTGTTCTACTACTTCTACTCTTACTACCTAGACTTAATACCACTCGATAGTCTTACTATCATTACCTCAACTCTTACTACTCTTATTACCACTCGCGATAGTCCTATTACTACCCCAACTCTTACTACTACCACTAGATAAACCAATCACCTTCAACAATGGACCCCTCAAAGACGCAAACCCCTTTATACCAAGACCCCCAGCCATCTTCAACAATTGACCCCTCAAAGACGCAAACCCCCTTATACCAAGACCCCCACACCCAACCCCCATCCTACGACTCCTCCTTCCCGATCCCCGTCTCCAGCGCCTCCTCAGCCCCCTACTCTCCCGCCGCCGTCGACTCCTCCCTCCCGATCCCCGTCTCCACCGCCACATCAGCTCCCTACTCTCCCGCCGCCATCGACCCCTCGGCCAACATCTACGATATTGGCCACGAGCCCCCAATACCCGTCCGAACCCCGTCGCAATACGCCCCCGAATGCGTCCCCGAATTCGTCCCCGAATTCGTCCCAGAGCAGCGCCCCCGCATCAACTCCCACGGGAGCAGCAAGTATCTCCATGCAGTCCCGCTACATAGCCTTACCCGTAGGTCGGCGCCGGTAGATTGTCCGGTTTGTAATAGACGCGGGGCGACGAAATGTACTTCGAAGAGTGGGAACTTTACGCAGTAAGTTACCTTTGACGTTTTGAGTTATAATCATACGTACTGGCTTGAGTTATGTATACTGACATGTGGTAGTGTGTGGGCGGCGGTGACGTGCTCGTTCTCCTGCTTGGGGTGCATCCCTTATATGATCTCGGGTCTGAAGGACGTGAAGCATAGCTGTGCGTCGTGCGGGACGACGCTGGCGGTGTGGCATCGCAGTGGTGGGGGGACGGATGTGCTTGCGCATGCGTTGAAGTAGCTAGGTGCTGCATATTAAGGGCATGGGTGTTTAATTGGTTTATAGTGAGGATATTGTTTAATGGGACTTTCGTTTATCGGTATTTCCTTTGTTTGGTGGTGTTTAACAGTTTTCTTGTAGATTCTCTTTTTTTTTTTTTTTTTTTTTTTGCGACCTGGGGCAATTATTGCCGGTGGCGCACTTTGGGATGGGGTTTGTGGGCATCGTGAGGGGAAATGATCGATGCGCGTGTTTTTTTGGGAGGGGCAACGTTACCATGAGGTTTGCCAACGATGAACTGGGCAAAAGGTTGCAAAAAAAGGGGTTTAGATTCTTGGGATTATGTACTTCAGATTGTCTTTGGGGCTTTGGATGGGGCTTTGGAGCATGTACGATATATATGTTGATGGGGGTTGATCTGTCACGCTGTCACGTTTACGATTCTACCAATATACAAGTATTACACTTTTAGGGCTCTCTCATCGGCATTAATTAAGTCACCTCAATGGCGCTCACAAGACCATACTAACCTTCCCCCATTAAATTCTAACTACATGGACGTCACTTCCTTCCAGACAGGATCATTACTAATGCTGGATAAATATCACAACCACCACCGTCGACCCGATCAAGACTTGTTTAGACCCAGATTACCACCTACCAGCACAATGGTACGAGTGTGGAAAGTATGTATGGCGCGCCCACTCTTAAAGGCATAGTAATAGTGATAGACTTTAGTTTTATCTTGCAGATTTTCGATATCTATTATGGCTGTAAAGCCTTATGTTTTTGTATGTAAAAAGCGCCAAGACTGAACAGGGTGGAACAGTATTATACCCATTTATACCCCCCGAAAAGCAAACCTGACCGAGTTGTGGCAGTGATGTATCAAAATGGCTAGAAATGAGCCCTCTGATCGGCCCATGAGTCTATATTGCAGCCACAATTGCTCCACTTCCATATGCCACCGTGTCACCTTTATATAGCGCTAATATATTATCCTAGCTGGGCAGAAAGCAATTAAACGTAGATTAAGTACCTAAATTTATCTTGTCACCGTATGCATAGCTACCACTAGTATAAACTGTAAAATAGAGCTCTATGTACTAGCTCATCAGTTGAAGTGCCGAAAGCCGCCAGGCCCGCCTCTGCCGTCCTTACCGAAAGATCGAGGGATGATAGAGCTGTGAGGAGATCCCGGGTTCGAATCCCAACTAGAGCAACATCAAATCAATTTTTTTCTCTTTGTAGCTTAGTATGTACCGGGGGTTAACCATAAATACCGAGAATCTGATAAGATAAACACACCTATTTCACAGCAAGATTCTCTTATCAGATTCTTCGTATTTACCCTCAACGCCCGGTACATGTAGACTCGCGACTGGGGGTATGCCGAAATTAGGGGAATGCCGAACAGGATTATTTGGGTGAGAAAACAGGTACTGTAGTTGGTTGTAACGTCGAGTCCGGCATCGCCCCAACTCCGCATACCCCCAAACGCGAGTCTAGTTGGCAATTGCTTACAATGCATGAAGAATAATCCCAATACCATTCCTCCAGCACGTCCGTAAACCTTAATACGTGACACAACTCACACCACCCCCTTCAAGCCAAAATATCGTCATGTAGATCCACATGCATGCAATCTCCTTTGCGGGAGTTGCCGTAAGTGGTGGTGCGGCGGAACATGCCGTTATGGAACGGACAACAGTTAGTGAGGTATGGACGGTGGACGTGTGAACATTGGGTGGAGGGGGTGGGGGGAATACGGTGGCTTTTGTGGATAGATACATTCATGGGTGAGCGGGTTGATATCGGCATCCCATAATCTCTGAAGTTGCCAAACCTTAAAATCAAGAATCGAGTCTTCAAATGTGAATTGTAAATTACATCGTGACCGTTGGGCCATGGCCAGCGCCCAGGCGCGGGGACTTGCGTACATGTCGTAATAGAAGAGGCCACGCGCATGTCATACCTTGGCTTACTTAGTATACATATGTTACTACATGTACATAAATGTAGCCAGAGACGAGCGAGAGTTCCTCTCTAGATCTTCTCATCATCATCACCATCATCAATACACGCTCAAGTCTTATTAGCTTAGTACATGCATGTCATCAGATCTGCTTATAACCACTTATCACAGGCACTCTGGGCTGGAAATATCTGACCAGAATCCCTTCATCATTAAATACCCTACGGGGAGAAGGGGAGTACATATCGAAGATAATGGCCAACATGCAGCGGTAAGTGCTTCCTCGATCATTGCTAGTAGAGGCACCGTGCTAATGATGAGTGCACTACATGTATGTACATAGCATCTATGCAGATAAGATACAACGATCAACCACCTCCGCTGGCCGCCTGCCTTTTCTACTTTACTCTACACCCACCCATCCACAACTCCAATACCAATTCTATCATTCTTGCATTATATCTAAACATGTTGCAGATGGAGAACGGGGCGGGGTGTTGAGCGGCCCTCTAACCCCCCCCCCCCTCACCCCCCGCGGGGCGGGGGGCCGGCGATAGAAAGCAGCATCCAATTCTGGGTTGTTACACTTTCCAGTCTGAAAACTGGATGTCCCACTCAAGACCGCAGAAGATAGCGAGTGTCCTCCGTGGACCGGAGGTCTACTCCAATGGCTGCAGCCCTGCGGATGTAACGTTCCACAAATCCGACGGCAATCTCCACGCGGAAGTTCCCGGCGGGATGCGGTGGGAGATGCCGTACTGGGACGAGTGATGGTATGTGAAGTTGTGGTCACAGTGGGTTTTAATACCCTAACGTATTTACACGTTTTCAGCAGCTGGCTTTCGGGGAGAACGTTCCTCTAGAGTTTGGTAGTGCTCTGGAAGGTCACGATGCATAGTGGCCAGCCCAGATCAGAACTATCTAGTACAGAGGCTCAACCTCAAAATTTGAAGACAGTTTTCGCGTGAAGCCGGGCCAGCGGCGCCGGAAACAGCGATGTTCTGATCAAGAGCATCGTGAGTGAGCTGGCACCTGGAAACGTCCTAGATCCGGCAAAACAAACACCTCACCTTCCCCCCCCCCCCCTTTCTTTTACCTATTTATTTATCGATTAGTTTTCCAAGAGATTGTACCTACAAGTACCTACATACCTGCTCTACTCAAAGAGAAGGATTAAACGACATTCCCACCAAAAGTGAAACCTACCAAATCCCATCCCCATCTCGTTTTCCAGCGCGAAAAAACAGATACCCGGATCGCTGCACACGCACCACCCATTCGCCTAATGACTCCCCTTCGCGGCTCCACGAGATCCACAACCACCACCACTGTGCGGCGCGGCAAGTTCCGCGTCCCCAATTCCCAAGGGTATGGTTTAATGCGTAGATGTGAACGGAGATTTCCAGGGTTGGGGATCGGGGGGCTATTTATTTAGTATTGACTTCCCTCTCTTTTTCTTTCTTTCCCTCCTCTCTTCTCGACTTTATTCTCTCTTGCTCTCTTTACGATATTTAAGTCGAGTGTCTCGCCCACTTTGAGCTACCGACCGACCGATACTTGCTGCTTGCACACCTTTTTGCTGGCACACAACCAACCAGCATGATAGGAAAGACATGGAGACTCTTTTGGGAAGGAAGTAAAGGCTAGGTTTTGGATGTGGAGGGAAGAGGTTTTTTTGGGGAACCGGCGAACATACCGACGTGGTTACGGTTACCACGGGACATCGACGTGGTTACGGTTACCACGGGACAGAGCAGAGGTCACGGAGCAGAGCAGAGAGAGGCTCTATTGCAACCCTACCTCCGATACTGTTACTGCCAGTCAGAACCGATCAAATCAACCCATCAGTCAGCGACTCAACCCAAGCAAGCCAGCCCAGCCCAGGCTATTTCCGAACTAACCGGTTTCCACCACAACCACCCATTACAACCCACTGCCGTATAACCAAGCACGGGGCGGGATGACATTACGCCGACTGCGATTCATTTCCTCCGTGATGTGCTGTCCACGATCGGGGGAGCGTGGGAGCAATAGAATAAGGAACCTGCCCCGAGAACACAAATAATAACTTTTTGTATGAGACCGCAGAATTCTCGCGGAGATGATCTGTGCTTGGATGTCAAGAGATATTGGAGGCCTGGAAATACACGGTTCATGCAAATTTGTGTATCTTCACCTGGGCCTGGATCCTGGCTGGCAGGGACGAGTCCCCCCAATCAGGATGAATTCGACACCCCCTCTTGAACGAACAAATCGTTCGCGAGGTAGGGCGTCGCCCGATATGTCCAATCAGGCTTAATAGGGTGAGCCGAGGAAATGAGGAAATGAGGAGGGAGGGAAAATGATGGGGGAATGTGTGGACGGGGCAGGGGACGGGAGTAGGGGGTGAAAAACATGGGAGAGAAGTATTAAGCAGAAAGATGGAGTAGGAGGGAGGAGGGACAAGAATCCATAGACCGTTTTTTCTCCCCCAGCTTGCGTACATACTTACCTGTCTGTTTGTCTATCTGTCTATCTGTCTGCTTGTCTGTCTGCATATCTGTCAGTCTGGGGGGGCAGTCAGTCTGCCAGTCTGTCTTTCTGTCTGTGTTACTTCCTTATGAGTATTTTGCTAGCATTGCGACAGTAAATAGTCTTTTCTTCCCCCCAGCAGTCGTCTTTCTCTGCATTGCACTGCATAATAAAGCAACAAGACTAAACAATACTTTCCTAACAATCCTTCACTTTCATCCTGTCTATCTTGTCTGTTTAATTGACTTCCTCGGTCCTTTCTCTCTCTCTTGAAAACCATGGAGAAGGAACTCGAGATCACTACCACCGGTTCCCCTCCAGACCCAGCCGGGGACCGTATCCCCGCGTTGCACCAGGACCACAAAGATGCAGAGAAACCCGACATCCTGGTCGACGACATCACGAACATTGATGTCAGCGAGGATAAAGACTCGCGGGCCTCAACGGAAGAGGAGCAGCAGCACATCTCGTTCCGTCCTGTCGAGCCCGTGGCCGTCTCGGTCCGTGGCCTTACAATCACGGTGTCTGCACACTC